CCCATAGGTGACCCATAGGCGACCCATAGGCGACCCATAGGCGACCCATAGGCGACCCATAGGTGACCCATAGGCCCTTTCATTCCGGGAACTTGAACCACTTGAACCACTTGAATCAATTCGCGTTTAGGTCCAGTGCTTTCACCTTGGACGCCTTGAGCGGGAACTGGACACTGGGAATCTCTACCCAAACCTTGCAAGGAGGAGTTAGGTACAGGCACAAGATGGCACAAGTGCCAGCGAGATTTATTGAAAGATTTGAAAGCAGGTCGTTTCTGTTTAGATTTCCAGGATGCGCGGCCAATGCAGGTTTTGCATGGACTTGGATGGCACGGAGCGGCAGTACTTGGTTGGAGACACAGGTCCCATGCACCTTTCTTGTTGTGCGGGCATATGTGACTAGCATTTGCAGCTCCAAAAGTGCAGGGTTGGATAGCAAATGATAGCAAACTTTCTTGTGCTCCCAGTTGCCCCGATGATTTGTGAGCATTTGTGCGCCTGGAGGTCTTACTATCTTCATTAGCCCCGTCACAGATGTGCGACCGGCTGTCGTGGCTGCCAGCAATTCTTCCCTAACACTCCTTTGCCAAAGAGGAGGCCCGCAAACACGACAGCACCAGTATGTCCAAAACAAAAGTGGATCCATCCTCACAACACATAGCTGACATAGCTTAGAGATGCTGAGATCAGAGCTCAATTTCTGTGATCCAGCGATGAGAAGTGTTTTGTTTGATGCCCATCAACTTATCTATGATTTTAAGTCGGGTGGCAGTCTGCGTTTCAATCCTGGCTATAGTTTGCATCTTCATAGTTGTGACAAGCGCAGTCTGCCTGGCGCGTAGGATGCAGCTTCTTATTGCACTCCTACCTTGCACGAGACTGCCAAGCTCCGCCCTCTCCAAGCCAATGTAGCTATGTGCAAGAGGACCTGAAGATAGCGCATAGTGATTCTCAGGGCTTTTCAATCGAAGGTGAGCGAGTCAAGAGGAACAAACCGAATTATACCAGCGTTGACCCCAAACAGATGTAGAAATTTTCAATTATATTGGACATGCGAACCAAGGAACCCAGAGTGGGAGACAAGTGTGGGAGACATGTGTAAACTCAGCCCAAAGAACCCAGAGTGGGAGACAAGTGTGGGAAACAAGAGTGGGAGACAAGTGTGGGAGACAAGTGTAAACTCATGCGCTCCCAGACATCCAGAGTGGGAGATACGTGTGGGAGACAAGTGGGAGACAAGTGTAAAATCATGCGGCCCAAGACACCCAGAGTGGGAGACAAGTGTGGGAGACAAGTGGGAGACAAGTGTAAACTCATGCAGCCCAAGGCACCCAGAGTGGGAGACAAGTGTGGAAGACAAGTGTGGGAGACAAGTGGGAGACAAGTGTAAACTCATGCGCTCCCAGACATCCAAAGTGGGAGATACGTGTGGGAGACAAGTGGAAGACAAGTGTAGACTCATGCGGGCCAAGGCACCCAACTGTGAGGGACAAGTGGGAGACAAGTGTAAAACCATGCGGCCCAAGGCACCCAGAGTGAAAGACAAGTGCGGGAGACAAGGGGGAGACAAGTGTAAACTCATGCGGCCCAAGGCACCCAGAGTGGGAGACAAGTGTGGAAGACAAGGGGGAGACAAGTGTAAACTGATGCGGCCCAAGGAACCCAGAGTGGGAGACAAGTGTGGGAGACAAGTGTGGAAGACAAGTGTGGGAGACAAGTGTGGGAGACAAGTGGAAGACAAGTGTAAACTCATGCGCTCGAAGACATCCAGAGTGGGACACACGTGTGGGAAACAACTGGGAGACAAGTGTAAAATCATGCGGCCCAAGACACCCAGAGTGAGAGACAAGTGTGGGAGACAAGTGGAAGACAAGTGTAAACTCATGCGGGCCAAGGCACCCAGAGTGGGAGACAAGTGTGGGAGACAAGTGTGAGAGACAAGTGTGGGAGACAACTGGGAGACAAGTGTGCGAATCATGCGGCCCAAGACACCGAGAGTGAAGACAAGTGCGGGAGACAAGTGGAAGACAAGTGTAAACTCATGCGCTCCCAGACATCCAAAGTGGGAGATACGTGTGGGAGACAAGTGGGAGACAAGTGTAAAATCATGCGGCCCAAGGCACCCAGAGTGGGAGACAAGTCCGGGAGACAAGTGGGAGACAAGTGTAAACTCATGCAGCCCAAGGCACCCAGAGTGGGAGACAAGTGTGGGAGACAAGGGGGAGACAAGTGTAAACTCATGCGGCCCAAGGAACCCAGAGTGGCAGACAAGTGTGGGAGACAAGTGTGGGAGACAAGTGTGGAAGACAAGTGTGGGAGACAAGCGTGGGAGACCAGTGTAAACTCATGCGCACCCAGACATCCAGAGTGGGAGACACGTGTGGGAAACAACTGGGAGACAAGTGTAAAATCATGCGGCCCAAGACACCCAGAGTGGGAGACAAGTGTGGGAGACAAGTGTGGGAGACAAGTGGAAGACAAGTGTAAACTCATGCGGGCCAAGGCACCCAGAGTCGGAGAAAAGTGTGGGAGACAAGTGTGGGAGACAAGTGTAAACTCATGTGGCCCAAGACACCCAGAGTGAAAGACAAGTGTGGGAGACAAGTGGAAGACAAGTGTAAACTCATGCGGCCCAAGGCACCCAAGTGTGAGGGACAAGTGGGAGACAAGTGTAAAATCATGCGGCCCAAGGCACCCAGAGTGAAAGACAAGTGTGGGAAACAGGTGGAAGACAAGTGTAAACTCATGCGGCCCAAGGCACCCAAGTGTGAGGGACAAGTGGGAGACAAGTGTAAAATCATGCGGCCCAAGGCACCCAGAGTGGGAGACAAGTTTGGGAGACAAGTGTAGACTCATGCAGCCCAAAGAACCCAGAGTGGGAGACACGTGCGGGAGACAAGTGTGGGAGACAAGTGGGTGACAAGTGTAAAATCATGCGGCCCAAGACACCCAGAGTGAAAGACAAGTGTGGGAGACAGGTGGAAGACAAGTGTAGACTCATGCGGCCCGAGGAACCCAGAGTGTGAGGGACTAGCGGGAGACAAGTGTAAAGTCATGTCCCAAGGCACCCAGAGTGGGAGACAAGTGCGGAAGACAAGTGGAAGACAAGTGTAAACTCATGCGGCCCAAGGCACCCACAGTGGGAGACAAGTGTGGGAGACAAGTGGGAGACTAGTGTAAACTCATGCGGCCCAAGGCACCCAGAGTGGGAGCCAAGTGTGGGAGACAAATGGAAGACAAGTGTAAACTCATGCGGCCCAAGGCACCCAGAGTGGGAGACAAGTGTGAGGGACAAGTGGGGGACAAGTAAGTGTAAACTCATGCGGCCCAAGGCGCCCAGAGTGGGAGACAAGTGTAGGAGACAAGTGTAAACTCATGCGGCCCAAGGCACCCAAGTGTGAGGGACAAGTGAGACAAGTGTAAAATCATTCGGCCCAAGGCACCCAGAGTGGGAGACAAGTGCGGAAGACAAGTGTGGGAGACAAGTGTAAACTCATGTGGCCCAAGGCACCTTGAGTGGGAGACAAGTGTGGGACCCAAATGGAAGGCAAGTGTAAACTCATGCGGCCCAAGGCACCCAGAGTGCGAGACAAGTGTGGGAGACATGTGTGGGAGACAAGTGGGAAACAAGTGGGAGACAAGTGCAAACTCATGCGACCCAAGGCACCCAGAGTGGGAGACAAGTGTGGGAGACGAGTGTGGGAGACAAGTGTGGGAGACAAGTGTGGGAGACAAGTGGGAGACAAGTGTAAAATCATGCGGCCCAAGACACCCAGAGTGAAAGACAAGTGCGGGAGACAAGTGGAAGACAAGTGTAAACTCATGCGGCCCAAGGCACCCAAGTGTGAGGAACAAGTGGGAGACAAGTGTAAACTCATGCGGCCCAAGGCACCCAGAGTGGGAGACAAGTGTGGGAGATAAGTGTGGGAGACAAGTGTAAACTCATGCGGCCCAAGGCAACCAGAGTGGGAGACAAGTGTGGGACCCAAATGGAAGACAAGGGTAAACTCATGCAGCCCAAGGCACACAGAGTGGGAGACAAGTGTGGGAGACAAGTGTAAACTCATGCGGCCCAAGACACCCAGAGTGGGAGACAAGTGTGGGAGACAAATGGAAGACAAGTGTAGACTCATGCGGCCCAAGGCACCCAGAGTGCGAGACAAGTGTGGGAAACAAGTGGGAGACAAGTGTAAACTCATGCGGCCCAAGACACCCAGAGTGCAAAAACAAGCGTGGAAGACAAGTGTGCGAGACAAGTGTAAACTCATGCGGCCCAAGGCACCCAGAGTGGGAGACAAGTGTGGGAGACAAGTGGGAGACAAGTGTAAAGTGATGCGACCCAAGGCACCCAGAGTGGGAGACAAGTGTGAGGGACAAGTCGGAGACAAGTGTAAACTCATGCGGCGCAACCAGAGTGGGAGACAAGTGTGGGAGACAAATGGAAGACAAGTGTAAACTCATGCGGCCCAAGGCACCCAGAGTGCGAGACAAGTGTGAAAGACAAGTGTGGGAGACGAGTGTGGGAGACAAGTGTAAACTGCAAACTCATGCGGCCCAAGGCACCCAGAGCGGCAGACAACTGTGAAAGACGAGTGGAAGACAGGTGTAAACTCATGTGGCCCAAGGCACCCAGAGTGGGATGCAAGCCCGGAGACAGAGGCAAAATCATGCGGCCCAGGGATGCAACCCTTTGAAAGGAGTAAGAACCCCATACAGGTAAACCTGTTTGGGGAACAAACCTGCCACTGAGGAATATACAACGACACTGATCTCTGCCTTAGTGATCCGTTGTACTTCAGTTCTTTGCTTTCTTTGCTTTCACATGCTTTCACTATCGTTAGTTTTCGTTAGTTGCTTTGGCTGTTTTTGCCGATGCTCCTGTTTCATCCGTTTGGATCTATTGCATTCCATGCCAAGGGGCTGCCTGCATCGGAGGACGTTGACGAGATCAACGAATCCAACGACACCAACGTGACGAATGAGTCCAATGTGACACAGCTCGTTGATCCCCAACTGGGTCCTCCCATCCAGGCGCAAGATTCGCAAGGTTCAGGAGGTGTTGTGTGGTGATGTGTGGCGCTGTGTACTTGGCAATTCGTTGAAGTTCCATGTAGTTACTGCATGCTGCCCGTTTCTCAAGAGGCAAAGTTCAGACCTCTCTGAGGTCATGCCACCAAGAGATACCAAGAGAATTGAGCATTCGTTTGTCAAAGAGTGGTTCAATGTGTTTCAATTTGGCTCGGTTTTGCCAAGTTACAGTTTAGTACAACTCACCATGCTTCTCTGGAGCTGTTTCTACAACAGCGTTGAGCGCATATATGTTCTTTTTTCTGGCGCAGGTTGAGTCGAGTCCATTGAGCGTCATCAACGCTCTTGGAAGCGTAGCAGGGCTTAGTTTCATCCCAACAAAGGCAAAGCCAAGCCGTTTATTCTTCTCCATTTTGTTTAACTTCGTGTTTCGTTGCGAGGCTGAATTCCGTGCCGATTTGGACTTGACATGTACAAAGCCAGGGCAGGCAGCCCAGTTCACAGGATGTATTGGAGACCACCTTTACACACTGTCACTTTCATGATCCCAGAAGATGTGTTTGATGTGTTCAGCAGCTCAGAGTAGAAGATCACAAAATATCACAAAAGTTCCAATATGTTCCTATGTTTTGCAGCAATAGAAAGGGATAGAAAGGAATAGTCCAGTAATACCATTCAAGGATACCAGTAGTACCGCACAAGGCCGTGGCGGAAGTTTCAGAATAGGAAACCTATAGGAGAGCTTGGTTGTTGTGAATCACGGATGAGTGAATCCACTGATGGACTGAAAGGTGGTTGGAGTTGCGTTTTTTGGAGTGGTTACAGTGGTTGCAGTGGTCACCTGGTCGGTCACCTTGCCTACAACTGCTGGATGTAGTGTGGTGTAGTGCAGCTGTAGTTGTAGTGTAGTGGAGTTTTTGTAGTTGTGGTGTAGCGTAATTATAGCATTAATTATCCCCGTTGGAATTTCCTCTAGGAAATGGTGACCCTGGGCCCCGCCATTTCCTAGAGAGCTGGATTTTATGGGTTGCCCATCTTTGACCAAATGCATTCTTTAGAGGCATATTGGTCGCTATTTGACCTGATTTGGTGGAAGTGCGGGGTTCCATTTTCTAGAGTTCCGGGTTATCATCTGGGATCACCTCTAAATTTACAATGTCCCATTCTTTAGACACCAGTTGTGTGTTTCCAAAAAAAAACGAAGTTCCATTTTTTAGAGCTCACTGGTTCAATGTCAAAGGGTATGCGCCGGGGCCCTCCATTTTATAGAAAAAACGTGCGGAAACACTGACATATTATAAACATATAATATCATGTAACATCATATAATAACTTATACAAAATATATACAAAAATGAACATCTAATTATGTTGTATTTGTTATGTTTTTTGTCATTATTTCAGATTTTCCCAAACTCTTCTGTGCCACTGGCTCAAAGATGTTCAAAGGTGTTGAATGGAACTTTGAGCGTTTTCAAGGTCGATCAAGAATATCCAGACAACTACTAAAGAATGGTATCCCCAGATACTGCAAAATAAACAAAATGTTCACATAATTTTACAACAACTACAACTCTGTCCACCATTTCCTAGGGGAAAAATAAGGGGACGAAAATGAAATTAAGCACTTTTAAAGCCAATTACCTGGTCCTCCGTTTTATAGACATGCCTCTGTTTGTAGGACCCTCGGGGTTCCATTCTATAGAGATTGGGGTTCCATTCTATAGAGATTTGTTATGATATGTTAGTCTGGCCCATCCATTCTTTAGAGCTTGGGGCTCCATTCTTTAGATGTTCCACTTCTAGCCCCCCCCGGTCCACTAAAGAATGGCGCCACCGCCACCCACCCTTTTCACTTAATCCAGACCAGGATCATTAATTAGTGTAATTAGTGTAGTTGCAGTTGCATTTGTGGTGGTGTAATGAGTGTTGCGTAATGTAATGTAGGGTAGTGTAGTGTAGTATGTTGTATAGTGTAGTGTAGTGCGTGTGGTGTAGTGTGGTGTAGTGTAGTGCAATGTAATTAGTGTAGTGTAGTGTAGTAGTGTAGAGTAGTGTAGTGTAGTGTAGTTGTCGTTGTCGTTGTAGCTGTAGCTGTAGTTGTAGTTAGTGGTGTGATTAGTATAGTGTAGTGTAATGTGGTGTAGTGCTAGTTGCAGTTGTAGTTGTAGCGGAATGCAGTGTAGTGTAGGTTGTAGTTGAAGCTGCTACAAAACCTTCACGTTTTGCTCACTTTTGACACTGTGCGCAATCCCCTGCGCCTGCCACGCAAAACGACATCTGAACGTCCAAGAGTGCTCCGTACCCCTCAGTTTTTTGCACTTTTGGCTTCGAAATATGCTTCGCGCCACATGCACTTTTTCGATATCTCAACTTCCAAAAAGTGGTCCGAACCTGTGTGTTTTGTGCATTTTGTTGTCGAAATGTGCTTCGCGCCACAATCGCGCGCACTTTTTCGACATCTCAACTTCCAAAAGTGTTCCTAACGTGAAGTGTTTTTAGCTTGTTCGCTTGAAAATGTGCTTCGCACCACAACGACATGCACTTTTGGACATCTCAACTTCAAAAAAGTGATCCGACCCTGGTGCGTTTTGCCCGTTTTGACTTGGAAATGTGCTTCGCGCCACAATGGCGTGCAACTTTTCATCTCTCATCTGACCACATGGCTCCGCACCCGCCGCTTTAGCGAGCCTACTTTTCGACCCTCCGGAGCCACAAATCATTGGAAAAACACATCGTTTCGCGACTTTCCTACCTTTTCGCGCACCTGGATCGTCTTTCTTCTGACTTTCTCTTCTTTGATCTTCTTTCTTCTTCTTCTCTTCTCTTCTCTTCTCTTCTCTGACTCTTCCCATCTCTGCTTTTCATCTGTCAATACTGTCGGAAGTTTGACTTCTAAACTTCCTTCGACTAAAGTAGTGATTGAAAAAAGGAGTGATGTCTTCCGAGGCGATATCGTTTGTGCATCGTAGGTTGCTGCCTCAGTCAAGGTGCCCTGTATTGCTTGGGGACAACATGGGACAAAAAGTATTTGTTCGATTTTCTTTGGGTGAAGCTGCCAGCCATGGCAGCTTGATTGAGGCCAAGAAGAGACGATGTTTGGCGCTGCTACACACATCGAGGATGGGGGGAAACCTGATCAAAGCGGATGAGAAAACGGAGATATCAACTTTTTTAGGTGCCGTCTGAAGTTGGATTCTGCCATGCCACTGGGTCCGAAATTTTGAGATACTACTAGCAGGATTCTGGTTTCTACATCGATGTCGCTTGAGACCGCACTGTGCGGGAAGGCCGTGTGAGTTTTGAGCCGAAGAATACAACAATGATAGGTTCCGATAGGTTCCTGGTGCATGATAGTTGTGGACATCGATGTCATCACGGTTTGTGTCAGAGAACGGTCGCGGGGGTCTGCAACACGGTCTCATTCTGCTCAAGCGCACGTTGTGCCCGCTGTGAGGCCCTTGGCCAGATCTTCTTTAGCTATACTATAGCTTCCTGTAGTTTTCTGTGAGGAGGGCCACATTGGCCACAGAATGTGTCATGGACGCTACTGCAAGTTTGTTTCCCCTGTCGTATCTTGTCATCAAAATGCAGTGGCAAAGGCTGTAGCTGAGATCTCTAATCTACCCATTAGGTTGGAGTTTCAAAGGGGCCAGGACTGGCCAAGAGTTGATTGCGTGTTTCGTTCATGTTTGTTCCACAGTGTTTCTTGAACCTTTATTTGTCTTCATGATGGGCTCCATAATGCTGCAACCTGTGCAAGACACCCAGGAGATACTTGCGATGGATCTGGGCTGGCGCTGGCCCTTCCGTCAAAAAAGAGCATTGTCGCAATGACAGACATGAGACTGGATAGAACAGTCGGGAGTTTTAGAAGGCGGCAAACCATCATTGCTTTGAGTCATTGATTTGTCTTGCGGGCTTACACAAGACAACGTCGTCTCTGTTTGCAAGCCCAGAAAGCTACTAATTCGATACTGGAATGGAATCAGCTTCATCTAACATGCGGGTTCTCGTTCAAGCAGTCAGTTTGAAATTGAAAACTGACAGTTTTTGGCGATTGAAGTGATGCATGAAGTGATTTGTTTTCGGATGTTGCAGAAAAGTGCGTGGAGGTTTGGTGTCCAACATGCTCGCTTCGCAGCTTTGCTTTGCCTGCTCAGCACGCCTCCGAAACGTCATCAAACACGTCAAGCCACTCCTACCCGTCTTTACCCGTGCCCCAGCAATTTCAGCACATGTAACACACATGCAACACACATACAACATCATACAACGCACGTTCAACATATTCAACTCACATCATGGCAGCAACGGCTCCAGAAGACTTGCCAGCAGCGCGCTTAGGTGTACTGGGTATGGCACTGACCAGCTCTCCAAGTAGAAACTGGCATATTGGGATGTCAAAGTCAGGATGTGCTTGTTAAGATTATGCATTGACTCTGTGCTTGGTAAGTTTGTTGCCTGATTTTCACGAAAGCTAGCGGTAGCTAGCTGGAGGTACTCTTGCTTCAGCAAGGGGACGGGCAGGTCTGAGTCCAACACGGTGATTTTTCACTTGAACCCCCCCCAAGCTCCCGGGGCATTTTGAAGCAGTCTCGGAAGCAGATGGTCACGGGCTCAAATCCTGCCAGGGCCGTCCCTCTGTAACTCTCTGGCTCAGGATCTGTAACTCTCCAGCATTGGGCTCGATAGAGTTCTTTCTGACTCGGGTCAACACTCTGCAGATTTGAGCCCCATCTTGGATGGGGCCCAAACTTTATCGCATACCCATCTTCTTTGCTTCAGACATTCCAAGCTTGCCAGAGCTTCTAACAATTTGGCAATGGGCTCGATAGAATTCTTTGTGACTCGGATTAACAGTTGAAAGATTTGAGCCCTATCAAAAATTACACTTCTGGATAGGGCCCCAACTTGTTTCAGTAATTAACCATGTTCTTTGGTTCACATGTTCTAGGAGTGAAAGCTGAACATTACACCTCTTCTTTGCAACCGTCTTGACTCCTTCCGACGCCTCTGTGGACGAGTATCGTCTCACACCTTGGCAGTGAGCTCAAAAGCAGCTCCGGATACAATCCTCCCTATCGTTCAATGGCGGTGCCGGCTGCAAAGTCCTAGATCACTTGCATGTATGTCGTGTAACTTTGCAGCTCTATATACCTCCATCCGATGTCACCAAACACAGTATGCAACTGCCTTCTACATATGAACCTCTCCATTGTGCAGCGATACTTTCAACTAGAACTGACTCGAACAAGTGGTAAAAAACATCTTTCAATTCCGTAAGGCAATCACGGACATGATTCCCTGACACACGGTTCTTAGACAAGAAAACGGTTTTGCTTGGCATGTGTAGCGCACCTGCTCCAACAAACAAGATGGCTATACAGCCCTCCTTTCTCAATTGCAAGAGGAGACAATACTTGAGAGGGATCAAATAATGGTAGTGAAACGAGTCATTCAGGAGAGAGTACTTAGGAGAGAATGATTGTTGCAGGCAGAGCCAATGCGATTGCAAAACCCAGCCATGTTTGCAGCCTCCCAGGCAAACCTTGGCACATTGTGCTGACATGTGCTGACAGGCAGATCTTGGTGCCATGATTCGGACCTTAGTGGCGATCGCACATTGGGTGCACAACGGAGACAATGACAAGCCGACGCCTATCAGGAGAGAAGACCTGCAAGAGCCACCCGATTTTTGGCAGCGAACCCATGGCAGGAGCAGGGACGCGGGTCTGTACCGATTGTTGGCGCGAGATCAAAGTCAAAGAACAAAGATGCTTTTGACGACCCTCAGCTTCGTTTCGTCGTGGCCTTCCAACACTTCAATACTCCTGGTGAGCAATGCTCACGTGCCAGAGGCAGTGGGTTACGTTTCCAAGCAGGTCATTGCTGAGCGGCCCAAATGCTCACTCGGACCAAGGCCATACTATCACAATTGGTGCCTGCCTTGGGAAGCCTTGAGAGTTCTTTGTAGTCACGGAAATGACAGGCCTTGCAACCAAGGACCAGGGCTTTTGAAGTATGATGTGTTCGTTTACTTGGAAGATGACGTTTTTGTTTCAGGTGATGCCTTTGAGTTCTGGCGAGTCCATGCCGATGACCTCTACAGACGTGGAATTTTCTTAGTACCGCATTGTCGTGTAGATTTCAACGGCACGCGTTACATTGACCCTTGGGACTTCCCGTGCGAGTTGGTGAAAAGCTTTGAGCTTGCGCTTGGGGGAGCACAAGGTGTGCAGACCTTCTTCCATTTCCCTTGGATGAATGGCAGAGGCTTCCTTATGACAAAGGCCCAGTTTTCTGACTACATTGAATCAGGGGATTGGGATCGGCTTCAGTCTTGCTTTTCCGACAAGTTCTGGGGCATGCGGGAAGGAGCATACATGGCTCCTCTCATAAGACGTTCCATTGGCTCCGTTGTGTCTCATCAACGGCTGACGGTGCTACATGCTGATGCGGGTCATTACACGAAGCTGCCACATTTTGTGATCAAAAGCAATCGAATTCCCAGATGCAGCGCCTCCGGCCTGGAAAAGCACTTGGGTTTGCCGAGCCTCTAATTGCAGTCTGTCACCAACAGACTGCTTCAATTGCGGGATTATTTTTCGGCCATGGTGAAGCAGGACACAGATTTAGGATGTCAGGATGCACGGGCCGTGCTTCATTTGCTGAAACCTTCGTTTGAGCGTTTTGGGCGGCGAGGGATTTTTATGGATGTAGGAACCAACAATGGAGGCGTGTCAGCCGCGATCATGAAGACCTTTGAGCCCTGGAGCGTTGGAATTCCATCATCAAAAGTGCCTATGGTATGTGGGGATTCCATAGGACGAGGTCATCAAGCAGTCAAAGTCATTGCATATGAACCAGAAGCAAATTGGTTTCGAGTCTTGCAGAAGCAAATTGAAAGAATTCACAGCAGAAGGGAGTCACCAGCGTCAAAGGTTGTTGCCATGCAGGTGGCAGTCTCCGATGTCCCTGGGTACCAGACATTGTATTCCAACGGAAATGCAGACTCTGCAGGCTCCCTGTACAATGCCGTGGGGGCCCAGCAGAATTCCTGGGTCCAAGTCATTTCGTTGGGCTCACAGTTTCTTGCATTGAATTTGCCCGTGCATTTCTTGAACATTGACGCTGAGGGTTCTGATCTAGCAGTTCTCAGGGGAGCACGTCAACTTTTGCAGTTGGGACGGATTCGCTTCATTGTCTTTGAATATGGTGAAAGCTGGAGAAGGGTGGAACCCAAAATCTCTTTCCGTGTGGCAGTAGAGTACCTCTTCTCCTTCGGCTATTTGTGCTTTCTTATCACACGGTTTGCTCTGATACCGCTGAACGGTCCTTTGTGGGACGCGTTTTACGAAAGCCTCGAGTGGGCAAACACTTTTTGTTCTCAGTCAGAAAACATCTTTGATGTTTATGTGGCTTATGGCACAAACAATCAAACCCGCCATTGTGCGAAGCTATTCCTATGACATTTGAGTACATGCAGACATTCTGCTCGCCACATCCATTGTTTTATTTGGCCTTGTTGATGAGCGCTTTCTCTATCCAATTTCGTGCGGCCGGTCTCTGCGATTGTGGAGGTCACGGCTCCTGTCCTGAAACGAGAAGTATTGAGTCGTTTGACTAAAGACCGGCACATCTTGCCCCAGCGTGCGAAGAATTGCACCAAAGGATTCAAAGCATGGCTCTGGTCAAAGGCATCACTGAAGAACATCTGCTTGACGAGCATGTGCACACATGCAACTTTTTTGCGTTTCACGCAAATTCTGCGCGCTAAAATTGAGTCCAAGATAGAGCTGGCAACAACGCGGCTGCAAAAGAGCCATTGTTCACATTCAGCTGGGGTATTTGGTGTCCTGCTTCCCTTCCATGCGACACAGTACCTCGACCGCAGGACGGCCACACCTTCCCCTTTCATGCAAAACTGCCACGCAATGCCAGGCAAGGGCATGCAAAGGTGCAACCGCCTCCAAGCAGAAGAGGCACCGAAAATGCAGAGGCACCTCCATCAGTGGTATACCCTGTAGAGCGCTCTAGAAGAGACAATTGAGACATTTTTCCATGAGCTACAGTAAGAATCATTAAGCAGCTGGCATGATCCAGCATTGGAAGAAAACATTTGCTAAGTCCTTTGAGAGGTTCAATAGATATACATATGTCACCGTATGTCAAACATGTTCTTGGCCAGCTGTTGGTCTATGTTGTTTTCGAAGCTTCTGTGCGGGCCAGGCCAGGGCATGAACATGCTGCAGAGCGCCCAAAAAGCAGCGAATAGAATGGGCGAGCGATTGATTCATACGGGCTGAATATACTGTGATATAATATAATATAATATACTATAATATAATATAAGATAATATAAGATAATATAAGATAATATAAGATAATATAAGATCATATAAGATCATATAAGATAATATAAGATAAGACAATATAATATAGTATATATAATATCAAAGGAAGTTGGGAAGCAATACTTCCGAGTTACGAATGACTTTTACTTGATGGAATTGACTATGATGAAGGGTGGTACGTGATCTCACAATACATAACATAACAATACACAACAAAAGAATAAGAAGCGGTGGAATTGACCTCGATGAAGGGTGGTAGATCACATATCAATACATAACGTAACAATACATAACAAAAGAATAAGAATCTATGGAGTTGACCTTTGTGAAGGGTGGTACATCACATCACAAGACATAACATAACAATACATAACAAAAGAATAAGAATCTATGGAATTGACCTTGATGAAGGGTGGTACATCACATAGAATAAGGAAGCTATGACAGAGGGTGGTGACGAAGGGAGGCGGTGACGATGGGAGGCGGTGACGATGGGAAGTGGTGACGATGGGAAGTGGTGAGGAAGGGAAGTGGTGACGATGGGAAGTGATGATGAAGGGGAGTGGTGAGGAAGGGAGGTGGGGACGATGGGAAGTGGTGAGGAAGGGAAGTGGACAAAGCGAGGTGGTGATGATGGGAAGTGGTGACAATGGGAAGTGGTTAGGAAGGGAACTGGTGACGAAGGCAAGTGGTGAGTTGGGGAGGAAGCCGGAGCACGAAACCTTGTGTTTTTCAGTGTCAAGTGGCTGCAGCCGGCGATGAAAGGTACCTCTGTGTTCTGCAACAAGTGGTTGTGTCTATGTGTGCAGTTCTATGCGTGATTTGAAGCTGTGGTTGCAGATCGCATTGGAATGGCTGCATGAATGTTGCATGGGGATAGTTTTGGGGAGGAAGCCGGGGCACGAAACCTTGTGTTTTTCCGTGCAAAGTGGCTGCAGCCGGCGATGAAAGGTACCTCGTCTGTGCGGCGGTTGCGGCTGCGGTCGGTTTGCCTTTTTTTTCTTGCCGCAGTGTAATGGTGGCTTGAAGCTGCTTTGGGTCTGCTTGTGTGTGCGTAGTTATAGGGTGTTTTAGAATCTCCGGTTGCCGATCGCATGGTAATGGCTGCATGACTGTTGTCATCTAGTGTTCTGGTGTTGTTCTGTGCGTAGATAGGTGCAAGTTTGCGAGTTGATGCTGCAAACCGCATTGTAATGGCTGCATGATGTTGCATGGGCTATGTTTTCGGGAGGAAGCCGGAGCACGAAACCTTGCGTTTTTCCGTGTAAAGTGGCTGCAGCCGGCGATGAAAGGTACCTCGTGTGTGCGACGGGTGCGGCTGGGGTCGGTTGGTCGTTTTTTTTTTGCCGCAGTGTAACGGTGGCTTGAAGCTGCTTTGGGTGTGCTTGTGTCTGCGTAGTTATAGTGTGTTTTGGAATCTCCGGTTGCAGATCGCATTGGAATGGCTGCATGATGTTGCATGGGCTATGTTTTGGGGAGGAAGCCGGAGCACGAAACCTTGTGTTTTTCCGTGTAAAGTGGCTGCAGCCGGCGATGAAAGGTACCTCGTCTGTGCGGCGGTTGCGGCTGCGGTCGGTTTGCCTTTTTTCTTGCCGCAGTGTACTGGTGGCTTGAAGCTGCTTTGGGTCTGCTTGTGTGTGCGTCGTTATAGGGTGTTTTGGAATCTCTGGTTGCAGATCGCATTGTAATGGCTGCATGATGTTGCATGGGCTCTGTTTTCGGGAGGAAGCCGGAGCACGAAACCTTGTGTTTTTCCGTGCAAAGTGGCTGCAGCCGGCGATGAAAGGTACCTCGTCTGTGCGGCGGTTGCGGCTGCGGTCGGTTTGCCTTTTTTTTTCTTGCCGCAGTGTAATGGTGGCTTGAAGCTGCTTTGGGTCTGCTTGTGTGTGCGTAGTTATAGGGTGTTTTGGAATCTCCGGTTGCAAATACGCATGGTAATGGCTGCGTCAAAGTTGCTTGGTGCCGCGGCTGCATGCGTAATACTATTGTCTTTTGCAGCTGAAGATTGTAAATCGTATTGGAGTGGCTGCATCCAGGCTGCGATAGTGATTTGTCAGCAGATTTTCGCAATTTTGGCGCTAGTAATTTTCCTTTTAAAAATCCTTTTCAAAAGTGCTTCAAACTCGTCTTTTTTCTGCTTTGGCTTCGAGATTCCGGTTTTGGAGCTGCAATTGCCGACACCGTTGCGCGTAAACCTGTTGCGTTTTGCAATTCAGTCTCTGCAGATCGCAATGTAATGGCTGCCTTAAGGTTGTAGTACTGGGAAGTAGTTTGTGCAAGCTTTGTAGTACACAGTAGTACTGGGAAGTGCTTTGTGCAAGCTGTGTAGTACAAAGTAGTACTGGGAAGTAGTTTGTGCAAGCTTTGTAGTACACAGTAGTACTGGGAAGTGCTTTGTGCAAGCTTTGTAGTACACAGTAGTACTGGGAAGTGCTTTGTGCAAGCTTTGTAATACACAGTAGTACGGGGAAGTGCGTTGTGCCAAGCTTTGTAGTACAAAGTAGTACTGGAAAGTTTTGGTTGCGTGCTTTGTGCAAAGCTTTGTAGTTACAAAGTAGTACGGGGAAGTGGCTTGTGCAAGGCTTTGCAGTACCACAGTAGTTAACACTGGGGAAGTGTTTTGCGCCAAGCTTTGTCTAAAAAGTACAAAGTAGTACTGCAACGTGTTTTGTGCAAGCTTTGTAGTACAAAGTAGTACTGGGAAGTGTTTTGTGCAAGCTTTGTAGTACAAAGTAGTGCTGGGAAGTAGTTTGTGCAAGCTTTGTAGTACAAAGTAGTACCGGGAAGTGTTTTGTGCAAGCTTTGTAGTGCAAAGAAGAACTGGGAAGTCGTTTTTGCAAGCTTTGTAGTGCAAAGTAGTACTGGAACGTGTTTTGTGCAAGCTTTGTAGTACAAAGTAGTACTGTGAAGTGCTTTGTGCAAGCTTTGTAGTACAAAGTAGTACTGGGAAGTGCTTTGTGCAAGCTTTGTAGTACAAAGTAGTACTGGGAAGTGTTTTGTGCAAGCTTTGTAGTACACAGTAGTACTGGGAAGTGCTTTGTGCAAGCTTTGTAGTACAAAGTAGTACTGGAATGTGTTTTGTCCAAGCTTGTAGTACACAGTCAGTAGTACTGGGAAGTGCTTTGTGCAAGCTTTGTAGTACAAAGTAGTGCTGGGAAGTGCTTTGTGCAAGCTTTGTAGTACACAGCAGTACTGGGAAGTGCTTTGTGCAAGCTTTGTAGTACAAAGTAGTACTGGAACGTGTTTTGTGCGTGCTTTGTGCAAGCTTTGTAGTACAAAGTAGTACTGGGAAGTGTTTTGTGCAAGCTTTGTAGTACAAAGTAGTACTGGGAAGTAGTTTGTGCAAGCTTGCTAGTACAAAGTAGTACTGGGAAGTGCTTTGTGCAAGCTTTGTAGTACAAAGTAGTACTGGGAAGTGGTTTGTGCAAGCTTTGTAGTACAAAGTAGCACTGGGAAGTGTTTGTGCAAGCTTTGTAGTACAAAGTAGTACTGGAACGTGTTTTGTGCAAGCTTTGTAGTGCAAAGAAGAATTGGGAAGTCGTTTTTACAAGCTTTGTAGTACAAAGTAGTACTGGGAAGTGCTTTGTGCAAGCTTTGTAGTACAAAGTAGTACTGGGAGGTGTTTTGTGCAAGCTTTGTGGTACAGAGTAGTACTGGGAAGTTGTTTTTGCAAGCTCTTGTAGTAGACATCAGTACTGGGAAGTACTTGACATGAGAAGAACTTAGCTGACACATGGGAAGACATGGAATGAGATGAGAAGAGCTCAGATGAGATGAGTTGAGATGAAGTGCAAGTGTGAAGTGTGGAGTGTGGGGTGTGAAGAGTGCAATGTGAAGTGTGAGGAAAGTGTTTGAATTGTACCGGGGTCGCGCGCAGGTCATGTTCTTGGACAGCAACACTGCAGCAGCTTCGCACAAAGCACGCACGCACGGGCCTGGCTGGCGCACGGCGCATGCAAGTTCCTTAGTAGTAGTACTGGGAAGTGACTCATGAAAGCTTTGATGACATATGAGAAGAGATGAGATGAGAAGAGATGAGCTGGGATAAGGTGAGAAGAGCTCAGATGAGATGAAGTGTGGAGTGTGAAGGGTGCAGTGTGAAGTGTGGGCCGTGA